TATGCGAAGCATATGCGATGCGAAAAATTGGTAAATTATGCGCATATTATGCTTTCGCATAATCCTGGACACCCTAGGTGGGATATAGGTTTTTATACCCTGGTCACTATATCAAGATCGCAGAGTATAAATCAGTTATACCCTGGGCACTATGTGTATAAGCGGAAATTTCATTTCCGCTTATACCCAACTGCCCAGAATAATTCAAGTGTAGTCTGATCAACTATCATACGCATGAGTATAATAAACGCTTACGTTACTAAATTTATTAACCCGACTATACTACTTTACATAGGACTTATATTATCAGTTCGAAAAAATTTTGCCAAACACTTAGGTGTTAGCTGTGTTTGCTGCTGGATAAGTATTATACGTGATACGAAATCACCAACTTAATCAATCGGCCGTAGCATTATTCGGTCAATTTTGGTTATGAAAATAGCAGTAAAAAAAAAAAAGCCGGCCCCTGCCGGGTCTATTTAAAAGTTTCATGTTGTTAAAACCAAGATATTAAATTTGTATAGCCTAAATTTAATATTTTTTAATTCAATTCTATGCATAGCTGTAATATATAAAAGGTTAACTCATAGGGTTAAAGATTATTTTGCTAACGTTTTTTAACAGTTCTGATTTTAAAAAATACACAACCGTGAGTGTTTGACCAATCAGAAGAAAACTATTTCGCATTAGCCAGTTGGTTATGTTGTACCGATTATCACTCTGCCCTGCCTGCTAAGCCGGCTAAGCCGACTCAAAATTAGACCATCGGGTTATTTGTACTGTATATATTGTATATATAAAAAAATTGACCGTCAAAATGTCATGAAAATAAAAAACATTAAAATTCTTATTGATATATTAAATCAATTTTTACAATTGAATCGATTAATATCATAAATCAGTTTTTTTTTTTTTTTTTTTTGTTGAAAAAAAAATTTCATAATACATATAATTCAACAAATAAATAAAGAAAATATGTTAGGTTGTCAATAGTCGGCGAATAAAACCTATATTTAGGTTACTTTTAATTTATAATTCGAGATATACATACGTACTTATTTAAAACTTTCACAAAGTCAAGGTCTTTTTATAATTATCAAATTTGATAAACCATAAAATAAATTTGTAACATAAAAGCTTTTAAGTGTATGAATATATATATATATATGATTTTTAATATTTGATCATGCTTGTCTACTATGATAAATCCATCCCATTTTCTCCGTTTGAAATAGATAATGTATTTTTTTCCACGGGTGTTCCCTAAAAGTAAATAATTAAATAAAGTAATTATTCAGAAGGATAGAAACAAATTAGAGACAGAATAATTTGGAACATACGCTATCAATAGCCATATAGGCATCTAAATCGGCATCTAAATCATCAGATGTAACCGGCTTGCGACTCGTTGGTTTCCGACGACCATCTGAAATCTTGTTTCCACGTCCACGAGACACTGTATCATTGTTTACACTTCGTCCAAGCCTAGAGCGAATATTCCCACGCGAAACTTGCTTACTGTAATATGGAAGATCATATTTCCCGAGAATGGGGACATGCGTGAGGAAGAAAGAAAGAGAGTACAATAGGGATTAAGTCATGATGGCTAAGATATAGTGGTGATGGTTGGATAAGTCGCAAATAAAAACCACCAAATGGCGTGGATTAAGAATGGCCGAATGCATTGTACAGGTATTTAAAAAAAAAAATAATTAAAACCTCAGATCCACGCAATACAAAAATATTACGGGTACGAAATAAAATTTGGCTAACCACAAATTTGTGAATATTCACTCCTTTCTCAACAGTTGATGATGAATGTAAAATGCACATACACTAATCCACTGCGAGCAACACCACCAAGGCGATCCAAAATGGAACCACCTTCGGCAGCAGATGATCCACGCATACTTGATACCTTTTGTATAGGTTTGACGGATGCATATTTGATTCTCATTTGTTGCCCTGATCAATTATATTGTTTCAAATAAATAAATCATTGTGAAAAAATAAAATAAAAAAATAAAAGTTCCTGAAAATAAAGACAGTTTACATACCATCAAGAGTCTGCCCATTATATTTTCTAAGTGCTGCTTCAGCATCCTTTGGATCCTCAAACGTAACTTCTGCGTTACCTGTACTTCGTCCAGCACGATCATAATGCAAAATAACTTTCTTAACAGGACCACATTCAGAAAACAGTTCCTATTCAAATCATATCTCAATTAATTAATTTCTCATACTGGAATATAAATTGCATTTACACAACACTGAATACCAACTTCAAGGTCATCTTCAGTCACTTCATAAAATAAGTTTTCAACGGTCAATTTTGCATTACTGTTTGAATTTAATGTTCGACGAACGTTCTGGCGACTCTCTTTAAACCGAGAATCCTCGAAAAGATCATGGGACCATTGCTCATCAATATTACCTTTCGGGGGACGCTATATGTAGATCAATAAAGTCTTCAGTACCAAATAAATTCCGACTTTTGCACCCTTCTTTTGTAGACAAACTAGTCCGTCGACAAAAGGAAAGGGTGGAGATTCTGATCTGAGTCAGCTAAAAAAAAGAATATAGAAAGATCTTTATCACCTGCCGTTCGTAAGGTGCATTTCGAAGGTTCCTGCTACTAAAAGTAGTTCCCGTTCGTGCAGTCGTAACGCGCCCTCCCCTGCGAGATGCTTTGGGATTTCTTTTCCTTCCCTTCTTACTTGTCTTGACATACTCATCAAGAGCCATATCTAAAGTACCGTTCATTTAGTAACAGATTTAGTTTGGATGAGAAAATTGATAACTCAAACAGGAGGCATCTTGTAGTGCTATTTATTTATTATATATACGCTAAACCCTTCCGATTAAGTCCGGATGATCCAATTTAGTCTCGTGACCATGACGATTATTAATTGGATCTTTTTATTTTTTACTCTCAGTGTAATAAGTTTTTTCCTTTGTTTAAAACTATATAACACAAACGACACAGCACTTTAGACAAACAGAGCTTTGACCCCAATATTTTACCATCTCAAACTTGTTGATTCATAAATTCTATTTCTAGTTTTCGAAACCATCTTTCAAAGTTTTCATCATGTCCGCTGCAGGCCTTGATATGTCACTTGATGAAATCATTGCAAAAAAAAAACCTTCGAGAGGAAATAGGAGTGGAGGCCCTACCCGTGGTGGTGGCATTGCAAAACGTTCAGGTGGACCAGTTAGAAACACTCGATCTTCACTGGCTAGATCTCGCCCTTACGCCGCAACCTCTACAGCAACAAACATCTCCGCTTCTCCCGAAGGAAAAATCCTTGTTTCAAACCTCGCTTACAAGGTGTCAGAGGCAGATCTTTGGGTAACTATTTAAAAATGTCAAGCCATTATCGGTTGTGCTACAGACAGACACAAAAAAGAGACGAAAGAGTTTCTTTCTTTGGTGACAAAGCTGGGGTTTACCTTCTTAACATAAACCTGATGCGAAAAAGAGACCTTTGTACGAAAATTTTTATCGTCAACGGCCCTTCTTCGCCTTGTTGCTTTGGTACCTGGAGAATCAGAAATCTTTTCTGCAACGTTTTCCAATCCGAACAACCTTATTGCTCCTTCTGAAAACAAACCACCTGACCGCTATCAAACCCGCG